CTACAGGGCAGGCTGCAGCTGTAGAGAGGAGCTGGAGCTGGCTCTGCATGGGGCTGTTCTCGCTGGGGGCTGGGCTCAGAGCAGGCTCCGGCAGCACTGGGAGGAAGCTGCAACCACTGCAGACTTTGCCGCAGCTCCACTCCCACCCCTGCACCACCACCAAGTGCAGCCCCAGCTGAATGCCTCACCTCTACCCAAGCCCTGGGAAAAGCCACGGCTGCACCCCACACAGATCCAGGGGCACATGTCCCTCCCCCGACCCTCCCAGCGTGCAAGCAGCAGTGGGAGCCACCCCCCACCCCACGAGCTGCACCTCCATCCCGTGCCCGGCTCTGCCCTGGCTGGGCAGCACCTGCCCCATCCCTCACTGCAGGGGCATTGATCTGCCCCCTACGCCTCTTCCACCCTGCTTTCCCTTCCGACTTGCCAACTGAAGACAGCTCTCCACACTGCCGACTCTGCTCCATGCTGTGCTGCAGCTGCACACAGCACAAGCATTTATTGGCCAAATTATTGGCCCCATAGGGCCGATATCCAACATAGACAATTTTCTTCACATCGGTACTGATCTGATATGGGACCAATGTATCGGTGCTCCTCTATAAATTAGTATTGAAGTATTTTACAGAACGCATTAAAATGCTGCTAATCTGAATGCATTGATTGTAAGTAACTTGGGTTATGCTCAGGTTTTAGTTTGATTGATAAGAACAATATAGGGTACCTGGCTGTGCTCTCTAGAATCCCCTGACAAATCTCTAAAAATAAAGCAAAAAAGAAATGGTATCCACATGTTAGAGTAATATTAAATAGCTAGGCCATAAAAAACAAAGACACCACATTCCCCATTCCCCCCCTTCTTTAGTAACATTTTATCAACATGCACTTTGCAATTTGCCTTTAAAGGTCAAAAGATTCAGGCCACTGTGAACCACCCAAGCCTACATCATATCTGTTGACACAAAAGTTTTTAACGTAATCCTGAAGATGCAGAGGACTTGAGCCTAGGCATTTTGCATAACCATCTTCACAGGTACATCTGTGGCTGTCCTTTTACCCAGTGCATGTCCTCCTCCTCCAGAGCCTTATCTTTGTTGCATCCAGAATATCTGTCATCTTCACTCACCCTGCGTTTTATGGAAGAGGCTGTGGGACACCTGTGAACATATGCAGGCCATGAGAGAGAAAGCCATCATCTGTCATCTTTCCTTGTTCCTCTCAGCCCCTCCAAGCAGTGGTCAGTCACAGTCACTTCATTCCCCGGATAACAGAAACTGCTTTCCTACTATTTCCTATAGCTTGTTAGTCCATGTCATGGGGTAGGGTCTCTAGAGACGGCTGTGATGCCCCTAGGGCCCTATGACCATGCCAGCTTTGCCCTGTGGTTGCCTTCTAGTCTCCCCTGCCACATCTCGATGGTTAAGATAATAGATAGTAGATAGGGAGGCTGCCCTCAAGTTGCTACACAGTCATGGTCCTGGTGGACCCCACTAAACTGTGTGTGTTCTTAGACCCCTTGCTGGGTCCCTCTCTATGTAAGTGCCTTGCGGGACACCCCAAGCCTTATGGGCTAGATGCATGGCTCCAAAACCGCCCCTTTCCCACACCCCATGCCTCGCAGCGGGTATTCAAATGTTGTACCTCTGAGGCCTTGATCTAGCTCGGCCTCCTGTCATCACTGGGCCCTTGGCCCCTGTCTGCATGTCCTCACTGGCGCTGGACTCTCCACAGCGCTGTCTGCGCGCACTCACTGGTACTGGGCTCTCCACACTGTAATGTGACCCCAATGAGGCCTCCTCCTCCTCCCCAATAGCCTCAGTCTGGTCCACTGGATTCAAATAACAAGGTAAATACAAGCCGCTGGGCTATAACATAACTACAACAATAACATTAGAGGTCACACCCTGCCCCTTTAAGGAGGCAAGCTTCTCCCTCAACAATGTGTGCCTCCTAGCTCCAGATACTTTAGGAGCTCCTAGAGCCCATTAGTCTTACCATCAGCAGAATAGGCAACCAAGCATCTCTGAGTAGCATTTCTGCAAGAGCTCCTTCCCCCTGGCTGCTGACAGAGAACTAACCTCCTGCCAGCCCCAGCCCTGGGGCTTATATGTGCCCAGGGCCCTGTTTCCTTCCAGTCACCTGACTGGATGCAGGTGCCAGCTAATACCCTGATTAGCTTACAGGCAAGATAGCCTGCAGCTGTGGAGTCCTGCCTAGCTTTTGAGCTAAGCTACCTCTGAGCTCTTGAAGGAGCAGGTACACCTTAGTGCCCTGCGACAGTCCAAAAGCAAGATAGCAGTAATGGACACGAACATCTAATTGCTGGACCTTTCTATGGCAGTGGCGGAGAGGGAAGGGAGTCATACTAATAGGCATGTTCTCTTCATGTCCTGCTGATCAATAAGGAATATCTTTTGTGCATAACTGGGCACTGTATACAGACCCTGTTCATATTGTGCATCTTCCTTGCTTCAACAGAGAGCTATTACTTAAAGGCTCAGTAGAGCTCTATGGGTAATAACCCAAATACAACTGAATTTTAAGAGGCAATAAACAGATAACTTTTTATGTGGTAACAGCATCTTTTGAGGTAATGGTTTTCTGGTAATTTTCTTATTGAAGTGATATCTCTGAACTAGTCACGGCCACTTGTAGTCCCATTTTACACCACCAGTGAAGGATGAGAATTTAAAATAACAGGTTAGAAGTAGAGTTGCTCAAAATTTTACAGCAGCATTTTCTTCAGCAGAAACCTTTTCAACTAAAGAAAATTCTTTCTAAAAATCCATTTTTTTTCCAAAATATTAGTTTTAAGGATTTCATATTTGTAATGAAAATACAAAAATTAATAAAGACACTTCTCTACAAACAAAGATTTTCATTTTCATCATATTTTTTTATGTAAAAATCATTTCCTGGTCTGCTCAGACTGTAGCTCCTACAAGAGTGGATACAAGGTATCTAGAATTTAAGACCCAAGTCAGGGGTACCTTTCCATTTCTGAATGGACCTACAGATCTTTGATGCAATACTTTGAACTCTTATTGTTTCCATAGTACACAAAGGTATTGTCAAGAGGGTCATAGCTTAAGTCCTAAACTCCATGTCTCACTGTACAATCAGCAGGTTAATTTTACCTTTAAATGTATTCTTTATACACTACAACTTACTGTGCTGTTATCTGTTCCTTGACTGACTGGAAACAGCTTAGCATTTCCCATTTACTGGGGGAACAATTTAATATGCACATATGCTACCTCTCTAGTATTCAGCAAACACTGTTTAACACTGAAATAGATGGACCTCTGTTAGCAATTATACAGTAATAAAGGTCAGTATCAATCAACAGGAGCCACTTGGGTTCTCTGCATTCAAGCTCTGCAGAGTGAAATAAACTAACTATTGTTAATGTATAATTGCGTGGACACAAACTGGGAACCTATTCATCTTTCACAATGTCAGCTTTAACACCTGCACGTACATGAAGAAAAAAACAAAGATTAAGCAATAACCTCTTTCACTATGTCAATTGCTTAATTTACAGGCAGACGACCAGTCAAGTTTCTCTGGATATGAGAATACAGGAGGTGAGTTCCTTCTTTAGTATAAATGAACACATTCATCATAATGCTCTTAGTTACATAATAGATATAATGAATGGCATCCAGATTTTTTTAATGTGTAAAAAGCATGTATTAAACAACTGATGGAAACTCCATTTTATCATGTGAATTCTCTAACTAAATGCAAATGAAGATATGCCAGGAAGGAAGATGCCTCAACTCAGTGTACTGGCCCCAAAACTATTTGGAAAAGTTGCTACGAGATCCAATCCTGTGTAATAGCAACTTTCAGAATTTGGTAAATGGCCAAAGACTGAGGCACATGCTGACTTGGACAGTTCTAAGGGCATCCTGAACGCTAGCAAGCACCTCAGCTCCTAGTGTTATCTGAGAATTAGAAATGTATACTCTTCTACCTATTATATAGTGAAAAAGTAAAATCAGTAATTCATAGGCAGTAGCTCTGGACTGTAGCTATTTAGGACGTAAGCATTGTGTAAACTGAGTCAGGTCAGGTAGACAAGTTGGCCTTCTATGAAGTTATAAGCTATTCAGGACATAACACTGGACACCAGACTTTAAAGAGTTACCTTTTTTAAATGTCAAGTTTCAGTAGATATAGTAATTTCAAGAATAAATTGAAGGTAAATCCCTGTTTGAAAATACCACAATCCAAGGTGAGTTACTTCTAGTCTGGCTAAATTTTAGATTGACTTTTTTTGTTTGTCATAAACAAACAGCATTCAAGACAGAATCCAAGAGGATGTGGAAAATGTTACATACTGCCCTTAATTAAATTATATGTCCAAAATAAAAGAAAAAACTTAGTGGCTCACAATGCATATTGTTAACTCAACTTAATGTGCTTCCTGATTTTGTTTTATGTAAAAATTTTGTTTAGACACAATGTTCATAACATGAATATGAAAGATCGGTCTGTTTCCTTCTAAAATATTTTATACCATCTACAAAGACAGCTACTGGAACAAACTGGAACATAAGTGAGATTGTGCTTAAGAGTTCATTTCAGAACGAAGTACATCCAAGTTGAAAATAAAAGCTTCGTTTAAAGAAAATCTCCCAAAAAGTTTTTTTGGGCTGGTATAAAACTAAACCTATAGAAAGAATTAAATAAGTGGTTGCTGCCAAAAATAAAATACATTGAAATTTTATTTAGGTTTTACAGGAGATTTGAGGCAATCGACCATCATTTTTGTAATTGGTGAGTAAAAGCCTTGATATGACTGTTCCATTTGTAAAGTCTTGTTAATTAGTCATGATGTTTTGTTTGTTAATATATAAACACGTGACAGAAAACACGTGGTCAAAAACTCCTCCCCCAGTTGTCTGCCTCCCCATTATACACGAGCTAATGTAGCTGTACCACTTCTGATACTGAGTTGCTTTGTTTAGCGCTCAGACATTCTGACCAGAACTGCTCTGCTCTAAATACAATATATAAACATTTTGTTAAGCCTCACATAAACACTACAAATGTTTAAATACAAGCTCTTAACCATGCAGGTTACTTGAAAAGGACCATAGCATATTTTACCACTTCTTTTGTTAAATGTCCTCTGTAAATAGACCTTTGAGTACTACAAATGCATAACTTGTGATTAATGCCAATAGCATCACTGGAACTAATAACAGCAGGTAAAGTTAAGCACATGTTTAAATCTATACAGAATCAGGGCCTTAGTTTAAATTTTAATTTGTTGAAATCTCTGGAAGTAAGGTCATCAAGTTAGTGTTGGTTACTAATAAATGACCTAATTAGACTAACTTATGTGTTTAAAAGTTAATAAATATTTACAAATTACTGCTGAACATTTTGTACTCAGTATTTTAAAGAAAGGATCCAGAAACAGTGTTTTTGTATCAGGCAGGAATATATAGGATCAGGTTGCAGCAGTGCAAAATAGCAGCATCTCATCAATATGCTGAGGACAGACATAAATGTTATATGAAAGAGAACTGGTGTGTATGTTATTTTGTATAAGCTAGAAACGGGAATTTTGGAACAGAGCTAAGAAAAGTAAGAACATTTGTGCAGAGTTCAAAAGACAGAATATATTTGTGTGCAACAGGGTTTTTTTAAGTCCTGTTACTAAGTATCAGTAGATCTAGGTCATTTCAAACCTGTAATACATATGAAAAACTTTAAAAAGTGAAGAAGTTAGACTGTTACACAGTTATTATGATAACCAAAAGCTTCCTTAAAGGGAAAATGAATAAGTTTCTATTTCACGCCTTTTGAAACAAATGGAGTCCTGTATTTTGTGTGTTAAAGCAACACATTTTCATGTGGTCCCTCTTCAAAGCTAATCATTTTTTCAGGTACTAATGTTTGGATCAACAAAACCAAGAATAGCTAGCAATCTAATTTGTAACAAATAATAGAAGTAATTTTATTTCTTTCTGTACATGAATTGCCCACCATCAGACCTGAGTCCTTTTAGGTATGATGGTCCTGTCCAGTAATGTGACAATGAGGGGGTGAGAGGCGCACCAAGAGAGGGAAGACAAGCCTCTTGTAAAAAAATATTTTTTTAATATTAGGAATATAAAGAAATGAGATTAGTTAAAAGTTAAAATAAATATGCCCCTCTTCAGTACCTGACAAATTGAGATACTGTTTCTAATATACACACAAAAAAATCACCAATTTTCTTTGCAACTTGGAAATGAAAAAGTGGTCTAATTAGCAAAAGATTTGCATCACAATTAATGTAGGAATTACTTGGAAATGCATTCAACTTAAATTAATCAAACAACACTGCTTTATCCAGACAATTGAAAAAAAGATGTAGAACAAGAAAGACAAAAATGAGAGAGAAAACTGCAGGATAATAGAAAATGACAAGAAAAATCCATTTCACTTAGGAACACTAGTTGAAGAGACAGTTATGAAATAAATGTAACCAAATAAGGAATAAAATATTGGATTCTTTTTCTTTTGGGTGCTAGTGCTTTACCCATGTATAATTTATTCCTACTATATTTGACTGCATCTCAGTAGCATGTATAAGAAATAAGCTTAGTTTACTGTCCTGGAATAAATAAACCTGAATGGATAGCTTTTAAATTACTTACCTAGCATGATACCCTTTGCCACAGCTAAGACAACCAGCATGATTATAGAGTTTATTAGTGTGCAATAAATATCCTCACCTGGTTTGGAGCAAGACGGTAGTGACATAACCACAGCCTAGCAAAATGAGCAGGAGTATTTTCATCAAGTACATTGGACTTTGGATCAGATGCCAGATGGTCATCGTCAACTTTCTTTGAAATTCAAATTTAAGGATGAATCAGAATAACTGGTCTCCTTTCTAGAAGAATTTTAAAACTGTACATGTAGACAAACTGGGTCTAAGATTAAGTTAAAAATATATAGACTGTTTTGAAAGCACAACTGCATAACACTTCCTCATAATAGTGACTAATAATTTAGATTAAATAAAGCTTTGGAGGGCTAAAGTATGATGGTTTAGGTGGCATTACCAAATTGACCCATCCGTGACAGTCAGTTCCAGCAAAAAGTATAGTTGCATAAGAAAACCAGGATGGACAACTGTTTAACTGCATGTGCAAACAAGAGCAGACTGTTTTCTGCACTAGCTTAGAAAGCTATCTGAATGGTACTAGAAATAAATTGGTTCCACCTACATTCTCAGTTAAGACATTTTTAGCACAGTTCAGCTACATTCATTAGCCTGTTCTGCAGTGGGGACATTTGCCAGGGAGAAAAAATATGCTAAAATACACAAAACAAAGTTTCATTTAGACAAGATAATGTAAGGCTTTGCCTGCTCTGCTATTTTCTGGCAGAGATGGGGTTAACATCATCATGCCAGCTTTAGAAATTGGTGGTCACTGCTTTCTCTGACATCCCATGGAAACAATTTCTCCTCAATCAGTTCAGCTATTCAGATTATCCATCTGACTTTTTCAATGCTCACCTGAAGGATTGTTTTATGCTGTAAACTAAAATAATCTTTTAAGTGGAATTTGGGAAATAGTGTTTGAATTGTATATAGTTTCACTTATTTGCTAGAATTATGCCTGAAAGACAAAGAAGATACTATTGCTGTTTGGGCCCTGAAATGGCAAACTCCTAAGTGTAAACTTAATTTTATTTGTATAAGTAGTCTAGTTAATTCAACTAAGTAGAGCCTTGGTTCCAGTATTGCAGTCAGCTCAGCACTCACACATTACAGGCTCAAGTCTTTTGACTGTAGGTTTTTCAGAGTAGGGAACCTGTCTTCTGTCTCTCACAGTAGCATTACACACACTGTTAATAAACACACTTTACTGCTAAGTAAAAGGATTGGTATGATGTGTTCCATGTTAAGAATCAGTACTTTAGACCAGAGGTCAAAAACCTATGGTCATAGGCTGGATCTGGCCTGCAAATCAGCCTGCAAACCCCAGATATCAACATTTAAAAGTTAGTCATCATCACTTGATACTATTCCCATGGCACAGTCTGTAGGGCTAGGGACAGACATTCAAAAAGCCTGAGCCTGAATTGATTCAATCTTTGCAGGTTAGTCTAACCTGGCTAAGCTGAACCAGTTTCCAAGTGTACATACATTCCCTCTGGACTGAAAAAATGCAGGCACATGCCTGCAGTGACTCAGGCTAGAAGCCGGGAAGCACTACAGCAGCCTTCCCTCTCTTCCACAGTGCTGAGCTGGCTGGAAGGGGGCAAGGCCAGGTCCCGACAGGACGCTCTGATTAGGGAGGGGTTCCCGCCTCCTTCCCCACACACACACTTCTCCTGATCAGTGAGGGAGCTAGCAGGGAGTTGATAAACACAGTGTTTAGCACCCATCAAGAAAACAAAAGCCTCTCTCATTAGTTTAAGCTCTTCTTAAACAACTTTTTCCAAGGAAGGAACAGAGGGACATTACCAACTGACCTGTTGATTAGCTCCAAAAAGCCCTAAGCAGACACCGTCCTGTCTGCCTTACACAGACACCTCTCAGCATTAGCTAGCATACCACATGCTGGCTACAGTCCGTGCTGTGGGAGAGGGGGGGGGGGGGATCCCTTCTTAAGCAGGAAGTGCAGGAGATGGGAGATGGAGTGGCAGGGGGAAGCCAGGAAGACCCTGCTGTGCCTGCAGTTTCTGCCAGAGCTCCAGATATGGAGCAGAGGGGCAGGGCCAGGTCTGCTCTGGAGCATACAGCCCAGCCCAGGGCTGCAAAGCATCTGGGATGTTGCAGGGCTCTGGTTTACCTTAAACCAAGAAGAAGATCCCTCCCTTGTAGACTTCTGCGATATCCTGCATTGTACCTACATGATACCAGGATATCCTCCCTTCCCCATTCAACACACTGAATTTCTTGTTAAAAGACAAGAAAAAGTGAATTTGTTTACTTTATTCAGAATGGAAGGAAGCACAGATAGTTGGAGATAGAAATAAAAATTATTTCATAAGAGTTCACTTGACAGGAATACAATTTCTACAACTGCAACAGCCACCTGCTCAGCCTAGTAGCAACTGAAATACTGCTGGAAATGTCTGGAAACACTGTGAATTTTCAGACTGAGTTTCTAAATGAGGGCACAAGGAGGCAAGTGGAGTCCTAAATTCTTCAAGTAAACCAATTTTTTCCTTGTTTTGGACTCCTTCCATATGTCAGCAGGTTGAATTGAGCAGCTGGCAGCTACTCATGAAAGTCTGTTCTCCTGTTGTTAAGTGATCCATTCAGAACTAGCAAGACTCTGCCTAGGTGGATTTAGCTACTCTCTTTCCTTTGTTTCAAGCAGGGAAAGCAGCACAACAAGAATAAGGAAAACTCATGTGATTTTTACCCTTCCAGAAGTAATATTTCATCTCTCATAAAAATAGCACTTACATGGGCTTGTGCAAGGCATTCATACAGTAAGTGCTGAGTCCTCATTGTTCAGTATTGGTAACCCTAGACTTTCAAAAAAATGTTCGCCAGGCCCCTCACTGATAATATTTGGAAATATTCTTCTTCATTTGGATGCTGGTTTCCTGGGCATTTGGTTAAACTTCTTTATATTGTAGCAAAAGAGTTATGAATGAATGAAATGTCTCAGAAACTTTATGTTTAGAGTTAGAGATTTTTTTTTCCAACAAAAGATTAGGCTCTCGCACAGTTTTATATAGCTCTGGGACCTGAAGCTGTAAATAAAACCAAATGTCATATAACTTTCAATAAATTCATAAGAGTTGACAACAAT